TTAAATATACAGTCAGTGATGTAAAATATCTCTCTGGTTTGAGTACTGGGCTAATAGTCCCAGAAAGTCAAGGAGTTTGTACTTCACTTAAAAAATTAAAAGTTTGATACAGGTGGGTGAAAGTAATTTTTGGAGTTCATGAGCAGATGGAGCTATCTAAAGTATTTTATAAGCCAAGTTTAAGGGCATATTTTAAAACACGTCTTTCAGTTGAGAATTTTACTAATTATTTACTTAGAAAGCCATACACATTGATACATTTATGCTTCTTAATAAAAAACAGCATCTTTAAGTTAACCATGTAATATATAACTATTCTTGATGAAACTCCATCAAAATTCTTCCTTATTTATATGGACAAAATATATTCTGTACTGTAAATTAAACTAGAAAGTGAAATAATAAGAAATATTAATATACTCATAAATATCACCCTGCATTGGGAACATTTTGTTCCATTTTTAAAGCAACCAGAACTTCAATACTGATATTACATTTTTCTTTGAAATATCAGGTAGAATGTTTTAATAGTCTTTTGGCTTTTCATGCAATTGCTGCATGCCAAAATAATAGAAGAATTTCCAGCACAAGAATTTCAATAGTATTATTATTTCTTGTGGAAATCAAGACCTGAGAAAAAATTGTTGACTTGAACTACTGTAGATGACAGTTTGCTTGGAGTTACTACAAGTATGGTACAACATCAGACATTAGCCCTTGCTTATTGTTCTAGAGTTTATCTGCTTCAAATTAAATATTATGCCAGTATGTTTAAAATGTGTTCTTTTTATTTTTTTGTTGCTTACTTCTCTATCCTTTCATTACAATTACTACAGTTGAATATTCCAAGTGGAGTGAAACTGGTGTTCTCATGTAATTCAGCTTGCTAACTTCTTAGGTGACAGATCCTTGTAGTCCTTACAACACATCTTCTGCTGGTGCGGCCTCACCTTGAGAACTGTGTGCAATTTTGGGAACCATAATATGAGACGGATATAAAGCTATAGATCCAAAGAAGGGCCACAAAGAGGTGAAAGGGTCTAGAGTAGAAGACGTATGAGGAGCAGCTGAGGTTGTTTGGCTTGTTCACCCTGTAGGAGACTGAGGTCTTATCACAGTCTACAGCTCCTTTGTGAGTGGAAGAGGAGGGGCAAGCATCGAGCTCTTCTCACAGGTTACCAGTAGTAGGACCCAAGGGAATGGCATGAAGCTGTGTCAGATGAGGTTTAGGTTGGATTTTAGGAAAAAAGTTCTTCATCCAGAAGGTGGTTGGGCACTGGAACACTCTCCCAGGGAAGTGGTCACAGCACTGCAGCACCAAGACTGACAGAGTTCAAAAAGCTTTGGGACAATGTGCTTATGAGGGTGGTCCTGTGCAGAGACTGGACTTGAACTCGATGATCCTTGTGGGTCCCTTCCAACTCAGAACATTCTATGATTCTAATGGAGTCAGTGTAATTCATGTTTTTTCAAAGAATTTTACTGGCATTGGGAGAGACCTGTATTGGGAGCAAAGTTAAAGAAACAGGCTGTCTAAAACCATTTGCCTTTCACCCTAACTAACGCTATTTGGACAAACCTCCTAAAAGGCATTTTAAACAGCAGGTAAGTTTCTGGGCAACTGCTGAAGAGGATTAGAAAGAGAATTACTTTGGTTGTTATTTTTGCTTTCTGTCAGTTATCACTGAAAATTCTTCTTCAGTAGAAAATTGAATCCTCTGAAAAGTAGCAAGCTGTTCCTTTCTTCTTCATTTGATGAACGTAAGTATTCTGAGTGAATTCCTGCAGCAATACTTAGCAAGTGACTTGTTTTATTCCATTATTTCAGTCCGCGGTCATTGATATTGTGCACTAACAATTTCTCTTTCAGAGGTGACAACTGTAATAACACATAAAGTGCAATGAATAAAGCTTAAAATGGCAGCATCTGTTGCTGAGAAATACACTGCTGTGTAATTCCAATGACACTCCTGTGACATAGGAACCTCCCATGATGATACAAAAATTGCTTTATCTGCTCACCTTTAGTACAAGGATTAGAGCTGTGAAAAAAAATAATTCTTTTTATCTATTTGAGTTTTGAGACTTATGAGATTATCACTGTACTTCAACATGAAATGCCAACAGGAAGTACTGAATGAATTCCTTATTTTACTCCACTTGTGTGCACAGCTTTTGCTTGACCTAATGATTTGGCTTTATCTCAAGTTTTCTTACTTTTGCCTTTCTGATTCTCTTCACCATCCCACTGGGGAAGAGTGAACAAAAAGGTGTGTGGTATTTAGCTGCCCATCAGGGTTAAAACACGTCAACACTGTATTCTAGAGAACAAAAGAATTTAAAAATGTGGATTTGACCAGATAGAAGGATTTAAATTAGGCCATATTAATTATTTTGTTCGCTAGTATAAACATTGTCTTTACTAGGTTGTGAAAGATATTGGAACTTTTATATCCTCTATCTTCTTCTCTGGAATATTAGCTATTGAGGCATCAGAGACTCTTTCTACAGAATACTGATACAAATAACCTATGCAGTTCAATGAAGTATTTTTATATTCATTTCCCATATACCTAAAGATGCTAGCTGATCTGTCTCAACTCAATAAAACAGTGAAAGAGAAAAAATAAACTGTGGATAAATTGGGAATAATCCTAATGAGTCTTGTAAAAGGAAAGTTTGAAGATGAGGAAAAAGTATGTAATTAAGTAGTACTTAAAATTCTAGCTGGTGAGTTTTCTTGGGATTGAGTTCATTTTAGCAGCAGTAAGATTATTTTAATTAAAGGACTTTTCTACCAACTAAATGAAGTGTCTAACATGAACAATCAATCCCTGCTAGTATGATTGCTCTACACACAAGGAAAGATAGTAATAAATTAGAGGAAGCTTATTCAAGAACAATTGGCCTACTGTGCAAAACTTGAGAAATTGCTGATATGGATTGTTTCAGTGTCATAAGACATGTTACTTACTTGCACTATTGTAGATACAAAGGTTTTTATCTACTGTCAGAGAAGGGAAAAATGAAAATAAGGAGCTAACCATAGAAGGAAATTGAAAACACAAAAATAATGACATCTATTCAACAAAAATAACTATATTTATTCATATTTATTATATTTATTACTTTTATGAGTAAATTACCCAAAATGTATTTTACATATAAACAGAAATAAAAAATGTAGTTTAAAATTGCATTTGTGTGTTTATGGCAAGTTTCTACAAGGTTTTTTAAAGAGTATGGAATCAAAATGAAATGGTTATATAACTTTCTTAATCAAAGTTCTGTTTTTCACAGCTGAGAACACTACATCATGCCATATTTTGTGTTCCCTAAGATGTCTATTCCAAACATGATTTAAATGTTAATGCAAAAGCTACAGATGCAGTGTTTATAATTTATAAACACAATTAAGAACAATTAGATGTGAAACTACAATAGTTTTTCTGGTTGCAGATGCTATTTCATTCAGAGTCAAGTAAACATGCCAAAATTGCTACTGCATTGTCCTTCCCTTCTGAAACACATAAATGAAACAATAAACAAGTATAAATGGAAATTTTTATGGATCAAGACTGAAGAACTAACTGATTATTTAAAAATAGAAAAAGTAAAAAAAAAGTCAATTGCTATATAAAGAACCTCTTACAATGAGATGCCACAAAAGAAAGAATCTTGAATTCAGTCATAACTCAGTGTTTAGTAAGGTTTAATTGTATTAATTGCATACATTTATTGCCATATATTGTAGCCTGCTAAACTTTTGTTTTATGACCACTTTGTACACTAGAGACCTTAAATTACCTTGAAAGCCTTGAGTTATTGTAGTGAAACATTACTTTTATTATCAAATCCATAATTTTAGGTGTTACATCAATAAAAAGCTCTCAAGTTTAGATTGAAAAAATAAAATCCTAAAGATGATAAGGCAGAAGTGAAAAGAAAGGTTGATAGTTACAACTCTGGGGTATTATTCTATTTCTTTTTCAATGGCAGTATATTAAAAGTCTCTTTGTGTATTACTGTAATTTCTTTAGATTAAATTAATTTTCAATCTTTGAGTAATAAATATTAAGTATCTATATTTCAGTTGGTTATTTTTTAAATTCTCTTAATATTTTTGGTACTTACTTAAATTGATGTACATATGACTAATTTCTGTCTCCTTAATGTTACCTAAAACTGCAGTGAATCACATTCAATGCTTCTCTTTCAGTTCCCTCTCTAACCAAAGATCGGTGAAGGATTTTAGAATCCAACTCAAATGAGCTTCTATTTAAAGAGTAAGGATGGAGGAAAACTCAGAAATTGTTTTCTTTACCAGCTAAAAAACAATGTGATTAATATAAGCTATTTTTTTAGTCTTCTTTTCTGTCTAAGTAAAAGAGAAACATTCCTGAAGAACTTGTGTCAATGACTAACAAGTATCTCATAGAAGTGGTCTTATTCCCCCTCTGAAAAACTTACTGATGATTCATAGAGCCTTGAAGACTTGTTTACCGGTCTCACATTCTTTTAGTCAAGTAAAGTGAATCAGCTAATCCCACACCAAATGAAATTGCGTAAATCATTGGTGGTCCATCAAGGAATTAAAATAGGAAGTGGAGTTCATCTCCCAGAAAAATAAATAAAGATATCCAAGCAAATACAGGCTGACACGAACTAACAAACTTCCTGGACTACAGTACTTTCATTAACTAGATCTCCAGGAACTACAATGAGAAAGCAGACATCTAGCTCACGTGCAAACTTTTATGTGTAGACATACACTTAGTCTCTTAAATTGAAGCTGAAGCTTATTCTAGCTTATTCTGTAACCTTAATTTAAAGATTCAAAACTAATTTGCAAATTCTGTTTAGATTTTGTAGGCATCACAGCAGAGGGCAGAAAATGCAAACACTTCTATATCCCTTACTTTTTAAAATCCATCATTCTTATACTTTCATTTAAAAGGAAATGAAACTACAAACTTCTACACGTTTTGTATATGCCTTACCTGTGAAATCATGAGGACACAAACACTGAAACAAAGGTTGTTCTCTCCGTTGGCTCATATCCATGCAAGTTGCTCCATCAGAACAACTATTTGGGTAAACTAAACATGCATTTTCAGCAAATTGGCAAAATTCTCCTGTCCATCCAGGTGCACAGAGGCACTAGATATAACAAACACACAAACACAGAGAAAACACAAAATGAAAATGCAATGTGAAAGTTTGTTGAATTTTCTTTGGGTCATAAAGGTGTGGTAGTAAAACAATGCAGAATTATTCTTTATATCTACATTTGCAGATGATAAAACAGTTAACAAAGGCAAAACTCATCTACCATGTCTGTTGAAAAAGTGTGGGAAGAGAGGACATGTGAGTTGGAGGAAATGGCAAGATAATTACTTGCTGTAATGGATAGAGCTGCCTGCAAGAACAGAAGAACTGAAAGTGCAGAAAGGATTTTAAAGGGCTGGAGATGAGGGAGAAATCAGCCAGTGGTGCTAACAAAGCCTGCAAGACAAACATAGTGGCCAACTAATAATCAGAAAATGTAGTACAAGGTTTCTGCTGGACATTCTGACCCTATCTATTAACTAAAATAAATAAAAATAATTTCTACAGAAGAAAGGGAAAGAATTGAAGCTTATATTAGCTTCTCAAGAGTCCTGTGATACCTATACATTACAAGTGTCCTGGTAAAATATAACTAGTAGTTTGTCCTGAATCCAATTACAAGGGTAGTATAGCCAACAGTAGCATAAAAGTATTTTAGAACACCATGGTAGTTCAACCAGTCACAATGAATATGGATTTTAGATGAGTATGTGTACAATGTGACCATCAAGGGGAGAGAGATGCATTGTAGTGACTCATACAAATAACAAAAAAGTTGCAAAAGAACAAGATTACCATAAGGCATAGAAAATCAGCAGAACATATTGCTGACTACAGAAGAAGAATTACTGCCAGGATACAAAATGCCCCAAGGCAAGTAATACCAGGAGACCATCCTTTTTTTTAAGGGCAGGGTAGGGCGGTGGGAGGTAAAATAGCATAAAGCATCAAGTACAAAGTGATAGAATGGAGACAAAGGAAGATAATCTCATGTCAGTAATGACTTCTCGCATCAAAGAGCTCATGAGACAGATTACCTTGACTCTGGGAGCTAAGAACCACTAGGGACCACAGTTAGTGCTGTTAGCACTAACTAGAAGGCATCATCTCCATGGTATTGTGTGACCACATATAATTTAAAATATATTACAGAATAGTAGTATGTAGGTGTACTGAGAATGTCTAACAATCTGTAAAAACTATTAACATTAAGTATGCTGTTTATCAATTAACTCACTGAAGTTTGGTTTAAAGTTTAAAATTCACCTAACCTATCACTCTTCTAAACATTTGCATTACAGTGATCTCTTCCCTATCTGATAAATATGTTTTATAAAAATGAATAGTATTTAGGTGTCCAAGTGAAGGTTTTAAGAGAACTGCAGTGATGGGAATTCCGTACTGCGAATCTCCACGTTCAGCTGTTGAAACAACAGATAACTAAAGTGGACTGTCATCTCCCGAGTGACCGAGGTATAAGAGGAGCATGATAGCCAACAGAATTAGTGAATTTACCTTCCCAGGACCTGGAAGAGAACATAGTGTTCTATGTTCTCCAGCATTTGCATATTCATTAGTACTTATTTTCCAAATTCCTATCCATGCGTTGCTCTGTTGTGACAACATCCATTATTTTACTAGAAGCTACTCTACTCTTTATCATGTTCTGGTTACATTAATCCACTCCCTCATTTTCCCTAGATGCATCCTGTCAAGCCCTTTGGATATATATAAGTACTGGGTTTTTTTGCCTAAGTAGTTCCTAGTTTGGTATTCCTCTATCATTGACAATATTTCTTTCCTTCAAATTTTACCACTAGGGTATAGGGACCTGGGAAACTTGAAAACAGATATTGCAAGTAAAAACCAGAGCAAAGACATTGAATATCAGCCACTTAATTCAGTAGTGGGCTTATATTACCCTTGGTCTCATATTTTTCTGCTGCTGCTGTATAAATGGGATTTATAGGATAGTTTCTCCTTTATGATTGCTGTTCATGAGGACATATTTGTAAAATTCTCATTGACTAGACTCAAACTTTTATCTACCTAGTCACTAAGCATTACTATTTATTGGTTAAAACTGTTTAACCAGTATTTTCTTTCTTTACACATTTTAAATCCATTCTGCAAGAAACAACTTCTTCAAATAAGTTCACTGAAGTTTAACCCTATTCCTAGTGAATACATATTACCTTAAAAAATTATGTTCTCAGAGATGGAATTAGTGTTAAAACTACATTTACTTTTCATCTAGCAAAGTGGTTTTTTTGCACCTGGGGTGAAACATACTGCTGGCAAGACAGCATTCAGGAATTGAATCACTATTTCCAGACTATACCAGAATTGTTTTGAGGATAATTGAAGGACAAGTCTTAGGGATGCTTAAGCCAGTACTTTCCACAAACGCTAAGCAATTTTTTAAAGATTAATTGTAATCATCTCAACAGCATACTGGTACAATAACCTGGATTTTTTTCCTTCTCAGTTTTCAATTGCCTGGTAAGATGACTTTCAAAATTAAGACATACATGTGTTTAGGCTACTTGGTCACTTTTAAAGTACATGGAGAAAATCCCAATTCAACCCAAAATTTAAGCATCAAACTGGGTATGAATGTTTTCAATTTTTGTTTTGCCTTCCATATTCTCTTATATTGTTTATTTCTTTGCTCAGATTTTCTTCTTTTCCCACTCCCTTCTCCCTGCCACCCCATTCCCTAAATACAGTCTGACTGTTGTGCATATCCTTGTAGCTGTTTATTTTTTCAATTTTTCCTGTAGATATTTTCAAAATTATGAACTGGAGTGACTGGTTTATGACAAAGAGTTTAAAGAACCCAGAACATGCTGTTTGGCAAAATGACAAAAAAAAAATAGTATTTTAATTTTTCTGCATTGATGGAGCCATGAGAATTGTTAAAATAAAGAAAATAAAATCCTTAGCTTAATACCAGAAAAAAATTATGCTTATTTTTTTTTGTATGTAAAGTACATTCCTAAGTAAAGTTCTGGAAGTCACTCACACTGGGAAGATAACTGCAAGAAACATATGGAAGTTTAGTTCATAGCTAGCAAACCTGTTCCTTCTTAGTGAACTGGAGTAAAGGACTCATTTGGGGAGAACTTTTTAATCACTTCCTTCTTCCAATTGAAATATATGTCTTTCTATGAAAGGGAAAGTTATGATATTTTTTCTTCAAACTGTGTAAAAAAATGAAAATTAGGAAATTCTATAGCTGTCAATAAATTATGCTATGCCTGTAATCGCTAAAGTCTTTAAAATTTATGATATTAAATCATTAGCCTACAATACACCAGGGAACATGAGTGACTTTTAACTTAAAAAGGGAAAATTACTTGGTCCTACTTACTGTATCTGTCAAATTTGCAGATGACTGAAGCTAAGTAGTGCAGTTGACACACCTGAAGGATGGGATGGCATTATGAGGTACCTGAACAAGCTCGAGAAGTGAGCCCATGGGAACCCAGAGTAAGGTTCAACAAGGCCAAATGCAAGGTCCTGCATCCTGGTTGGGTGAACCCCTCGTATTAACATGGGCTGGGGGTAAAGAAATTAAGAACAGCCCCCAACAGAGTTGGAGGTAGTGGTGGATGAAAAGCTGGACATGAGCCAGCAATGTGCACCTGCAGCCCAGAAGGTTAACTATATCCTGGGCTCCATGAAAAGCGGTGTGGCCAGCAAGCCAAGGGGAGGATTCTGCCTCCCTACTCCACTCTGGTAAGACCCCACCTGGAGTATTACATCCAGCTCTGGGGTCCTCATTACAAGAAATACATGGACCTATTGGAGTGGATCCAGAGGAGGGCCACAGAAGGATGGAGCAGCTTTCCTATAAAGACAGACTGAGAGAGTTGGCATTGTTTGGCCTGGAGAGGAAAAGATTCTGGGGAGATCTTCCTGTGGCCCTTCATTACTTAAAGGGGACTTATAAGAAGGATGGGGACAAACCTTTTAGCAGGGTCTCTAGCAATAGGAGAAGGGATAATGTTTTTAAACTAAAAGAGGGCAGATTCAGATTAGATAGAAGGAATAAATTTTTCACAATGAGAATGGTGAAACACTGGGATAAGTTACCCAGAGAGCTGGTAGATTCCCCATCCCTGGAAACACTGAAGGTCAGGTTGGATATGGCTCTGAGCAAGCTGATATGGAAGATGACTGCAACAGAGTAGAACTAAATAACCTTTAAAGGTCCCTTCTAACCCAATACATTCTATGATACTATGATCTCCAATATGATATGTTGATTCATATGAAACCCTGATTTCAGGTAAAACAATTAGGAGTCTGGGCAGAAAAATGGCATAGCTTGAATTAATTGGGTTTTTTTACTAGATTTAGTAAATTTACTAATTTTATATTCTTTCATTTCTCAGGTGGACATATGGGGTAAATCAGAAACTACAATTCTATCTGTGCACATGTCATATAGGGATAGAGAAGTTAAATTTTGTGTACTTTGGGCAGGTGCCACCTCTCTTTACATATGACTTTATAAAATAATGAAACTTTATTAATATTTAATTATAACTTAGAAAGGCAAATTAAGAATGTGCATTTTTGAAGTTTTGGTAGTAAATGAAGAAACGGCAGATACCAAAGGATGAAAAATAATCAGCAAGAAGCTGCAGTATGTACTAGAAACTTACTCTACAGTACAGGAAACAGATGCTGAAGACATGTGTGTGGAAAATGTGTGTTTGATCTTACTGACATTAATAAATGGGCTAAAAAAATATTATAAGTCATGTCCCTCAGAAATACACAGTGCTGAGTTGGCTAACTGAATTTTTATGGAATCTTTCTACAGACATTCTCCATATCTCAAGGGGCCAGCTCCTTATTAGATAGGAAAGTCAGTAAAGAAGAGATTTGGGGAATTCCTGTATTTTTGAAAAAGTGGTTTAAACTTGACACGACTTGATTTTAGCTTCTTCTCAGAAGTTTCATTTAAAAATTAAACAGAATATGTTTATTGGTTTTATCTGGTGTGTTTTACTGTCTATTTATATTTAATTACATGCTAT